ACACACCAAGGACGATGATCTACACATTGTTTTCGCACAAACAAGCGATGCAGATGTTTTTACTCAATCGTAAAAGCAAAGTACAGTGACGTGAGATCACGCAACAAAACAACTATTGCAGTAGGTGCTCATATGTGAAAAGATAAAACTCCCCTCCTACATTTCACGCACTACGAGAAACGGAAACACTCCGAAGTGATTCGAATGATACCGCTTTGCCAACAGCTGCGAAAATGAAGAATCAAAAAATGCTGACCTCGTTGATGCCTTTATAGGTTTTGATCAGATCAATGCTCAACTTTCTCACTGGAGAAGTTGCATATTCGCGCTGCACACGATTATGAGTATTGTTCTGATACGTCACAATGGTACCACCGGCGACAATGTGCGGATTCTGCGCCGAAGTGGATGGGATGTGTCCAGCCATGTGAAAGCCCATATGCGTCTGGCTGGACAGCGGCAAACTGGAGCTACAACGAACAGCATTTCATTTGATTTCTTCCTATCTTGCCCTGTATAATAATAATCAAAAGTGGAAATAAATTCCTGCTTATGATATCTGAATTCTGCCTAAGGCAATGAAAACTTGGGAGATTTTTCGTCCCTGCTTTTCAGAATATCGATACAAAATCCTTTTTACCCAGTTTTTACCAAACAGCCGAATGATTAGAAGCTATGCTCGCTCTCTTCTGTCGCTGTCTGCTATTCCCAGTGACTCAGTCAAGGGATTGCACGCATACGTTTCATAGAATTTTTCCAGGCATTCACAAACTGGAGCAAAAGGCACGTCAGGAGTGTAGTCATCATGCAAATCCATCCACACACCATTTACTTGAGAATTTTGCTTCCTCCTTCACATTTTAAACGGCACATTTAATTGTTTTACGTGATCAAGGCGGATAAACGTTATCGATGTGATTAAAGAATACTCATTATTGAAAGACGTATTCGGTGAGTAGGGGCTGTGCGAATTCGGAAGTTGCGTATTCAGGAACGAGCTACCATCAATCACTGACGACGGCTGTAATGCAAGCGATGCTGAACTCTGGGTTGAGTTCTGCTGCGGCCAAGCGGATGACGACGTCGCAAACTGTAAATCTTCTTGTACGGAAATTACATTCGGCCATTTTCAACGAAAAAAATACACAAAACCCTTAAGGCATTTTCCAGATTCCTGCACTAAGAAATTCCTCTTATTTTTCTCGCCAAAGATTTTGATTTTGCATCACTATTTTAAATTAAAATCTAGCTGCAATACACTGATTCGCAACGAGTAGAAATGATAGATGATTGATGAAGATCACTTTTTGCTCACCATTGTACAGGCGCTTCCTTGCCCTCCTGAATCCAAAATTATGCTGCTACTCCTTCCCATCACATCAAAAAGCTCTATATTTCGGTCTGTCCCACAGATACTGCAGATTCCGCATTTTTGGCTAGTTATTGAGAAAAAACTTTTAATGAACTAACCCACCAGCAGTTTATTGAACCGTTTGTAGACAGGTGGTTCTATAGTTTTACTTAAGATTTTTAGCAGTCATTCGCCCTTCGAATGATGGTCTGGCACAATACGTACCACTATGCAAGTTATACCTTGGAGGTTTGTTATTAAGCTATTTCCTTTCGTGCTCGATGTACAGATGTATGATTCGTGCAATTATTTACCGCTCACTGATTAAGCTAACCATTCTCAGTTAAAAATTTCACAGAAAGATATGATTAAACTCAGACTGCGACTGTGTTTACGGA